CCCGCGAGACTAGCCGAAATAACGGGACCCGGCAGGCTCGGCCAACGCCTCCAGCCACCGCGCTGAAAAACCTTGTCCTGGTGGGTGCCGTGTCCCATGGGGAAGCGGCGGCTTTCCCGATACACCCGGCTCCACCGAGGCATGGCAACTTGGACAGCCAGTGGGACGAGACGCAGCACAGGGCAGGTGTATCCCCTGAAAACACTCACCACAGACCACAGTCGGGGGGCGACAAGCACAGACCCCGGGGCAGGGGGCTGCTGCCATAGGCGGCGGGAGGATGGAAGGGCTCAGGGAGGGACAGTGGGGAGGAGATGGCGTGCGTGACACGACCCAGCAGTTTTCCAGAAGTTGCATGAACATGAAGGAGGTGGGCAAGGGACAGGGACTCCGCCATGAAGCCAGGGGTCGCCCACCCTAGCAGTACCCAGCTCGTCCCACAGGCCGCTGCTCCCCCATCCCCGAGGTTGGGCACAAGCAGGAGCAGAAAACAAACACCCCTATCCCTCAGGGCTTGGAAGGGAACGCGTCAGTAAATCCGATTTTATTTATATTTTTTTTTCCCGCTGGTCTCGTGGCTCTGTAAGAGCTTGGTCGGGGCAAACTGGGTAGAGATTAGTTCCATCCACCACCTCCCAAGCCAGCGGGGTGGCACCTTTGGGCCCTGCGGTGACACCCTGGGGGTGGCAAAGAGCCCGTCCCAGTGCTCCCCGATGCTTGGCCCTGCATCCTGGGGGGGGGGGAGCCCCAGGGTCTGCTGGTGGCCAGTGCCCCCCTGGGCTCTGCCCAGCACCAGCATCATCCTCCATGGCTGTAGGTGGCTTGGTATGGCCACGGTGGCTCCTTGAGGGGGAGAACATCTGGCTTGGCACCCCCGCACAAGGCCCTCCCAACCAAGCTATGGTGTGGGATACACCTGTCTCCCCCCCCAAAACCCTCAGCCCCAAGAGACGAGTCCCCCCAAACTGGGTCTGTCCTAGGGCCAGGGAGAAGCATGGGGCTGGTGGGCTGCCGTGCCCCGCCGCTGGAAGGGGGTGTGCAGACATCTCCGTGGGCCCCGCTGCAAAATTAAACCCCACTGGTGAACAGCGGGTGGGTGGCCGAGGTCTGTGAGCAGCCCGTGGGCTTCTGGCAGGCTGAGCCCTCACCATGGTGGGGGGGGTGAGGGGTGTCCCCCCCTACCTCCACAGGGAAGAGAGAAAAGCCAGAAAACCCGGAAAGGGGAAAAAAAAAAAACAACACAGAAGGAAGCGAAAGACACAACAAAAGCAAGCACGCGCCGCCGGCCGGGTGCCTCGTGATTGATTTAATGGTGTTTATTCCCCTTTTCCCGGAGGCTGAGTCACGGGCCCAGGCGCCGGGGGTCAGGCCTGGGGGCTGGAGGAGGGGGGG